ATTTTCACCTAAACATAATTCATAGTTTTTAATGCATAATTGTTAAAACATTTTAAATAATAAGTTATTTTTTCTACAAATTCTCTAATCCATTGGTTTGCTTTTCAAATCAAATCCTGTGAAAACTTAAATATAGACACTGGATATATATTTTTCTACGCAACCAGATATACAGCACATACAAGGCATCTTGAAATAGTTATTCATTAGTATGGTAATATTATTTTAACTAAAAATAAAAAGGATTAAAAAAATAGTTTACTATGAAAACATTACAGTACAAATGTAACATTACTTTTTCCTGACACATATTGATAAACAATTTCCACGATGAAATGCATGGAAATTCTTATTTAAAGCATATATAACTATTATATTCAAAGGAATTTAAATACTTACGGTATTATTGATTGTTAAATAATTTATACAAGAATTCTATACTTTTAATTTGAAAATGGTCATACAAATTTGATTAAACATATTTACAGATATATCCATGATGGAACTGGATACATGAAATTTCTGTAAATTTTAAAAGTATTGTTTCTTAACACACAGATTTTGAACTGACATTTAAAAGCACAAAATGTCTATTGACAGAAAGAACTGTCAATTCTAACTTCTTCTTCTTGGTGCCATATCAGATTCCTGACGTCGGCGATACCTGGAGTAGGTTAGTAAGTAGTTAGTAACGCGCCAAGGTGTTACTAGAGAAAGTTACTACCCAGAGTAGTTTCCCGTTGCCTGCTCTGGGGTACGATGTTTCGCGAGGGAAAGAATGCCTTCCGGGAGGACTTTTATGGGGAACTGGCCTCCTATTTAGTCGTTATCGGCAAGGAGAAAACCCGGTAAACTCCAAGCAGCCAGCCTGTCCGATCGCGGCGCGAACCCACGACCGAACTCCCAGTGTTCAGGGTACTAAGACCACTCGGCCATTGGTGAGCGCCAATTCTGACTAAAACATTAAAAAAAAAAAATTGATAAGAGTAATCTATGGAGAATATCCTTCATTCAAAATTGTTCAACAACTTTTACATTTAAACTTTATAATTTGTTAAGCAAGGTTTTTGAAAATTTCTCTTTCAGAGGTGTACAAAACTTAGCTAATTTTATTGTTTCATCTAACTATATTAAATGCATATGACAAATTCAAAGAATATTCTGACTTATCTTAATTATAAATTTCATCCTTTCTCGAACTTTTTATGAATAATATCTGTAACAAAGTATAAATTTTCTGTTATTTATTATCTGTGCACGTAAATTTAAAACACTAATCGCACTATTAAAATGATCTATTGTGTACGATTTGGTTCNAAAAAAAAAAATTGATAAGAGTAATCTATGGAGAATATCCTTCATTCAAAATTGTTCAACAACTTTTACATTTAAACTTTATAATTTGTTAAGCAAGGTTTTTGAAAATTTCTCTTTCAGAGGTGTACAAAACTTAGCTAATTTTATTGTTTCATCTAACTATATTAAATGCATATGACAAATTCAAAGAATATTCTGACTTATCTTAATTATAAATTTCATCCTTTCTCGAACTTTTTATGAATAATATCTGTAACAAAGTATAAATTTTCTGTTATTTATTATCTGCGCTCGTAAATTTAAAACACTAATCGCGCTGTTAAAATGATCTATTGTGTACGATTTGGTTCAGAGGTGCATAAAGATCAAGTATGAAGTTAAATGTTCAAAAAAAATAATCAGCTATATTTTCACTTTATACTCGCTCCATATTACAACTAAAAAAAATAATCTATTCGTCACGATTCGTTCTAACGAGCACAAAATATAATCTATCGGGACATTCCAATTTTCAACGCGAGTGTTGAGTGTTGAAGTCAGCAATTTGACGTCATCAACGACGTTCCAACTCGAGTACGAAGTGCTTAGTTCCCATAATTCCATTCTCAGCAAGATGGATTCCATTCAAATGTCTTACCAATTACCCACAATTCATTGGAAAGTAACAGTCAACATATCTGTTGAGTGCTGAGTGTGTTGAGTCAGCGCTGAGTCAGTGTTGAAAATTGGAATGTCTCGTATCTTCGGTGGGTTGACGTCATTCAGCTAACCAATCAGCGCTTCGTGCCATCTGGATATTTTGTCGCACGTACAGTAACGTGCATGGTCGCCATTTTCCATTCAAATGTCTCACTAATTACTTATAATTTATTGGAAAGCGTTGGCAACAGTGCCAAATAAGCGTTGAAAAAGGAGCGACTTCTGACATTCGACGAAGAACGTCGAGAATATGAGCTTATTGACCAATCAGTTGCTAGGGCCATCTGATGGTAGGATATGATAATTTTTACTAACAATTACTTTATACACATTTTATTTACACTTTACATACAGTACTGTACATATTTTTTTGTATATATTATTTACAAAGTTTTTAAAATTATTTGTTTCACAATACATTATAAATTATTTTGTATTTTATAAATGTTTGTTTTAGAGATAATCTGTTTAAGTACTGTACATTTTGTGTACACAAGGATACTGTAGATTTTGTTGTTCAGTTAACGAATATAAAAGTTTATAATGAAACTTTCACGAGGCTTATTTAAAAAAAAAAAAAAACAAGTAATGTAAGAGAAAAAATCATTTTCTGTTGTGTTATAATTGAAGCTGATTAGAAAGTGTAGGTGTATTTTATATGTGAGTATAGGTTATATAAATCCATAAATATTTGATTAAAGATTTATAATACTTTATCCTCTTTATTCAGCACGTAGGCTATACGGAAACGCTCGGAGGATTCTATTTGAAATCTAACTTTGTAGAATAACGAGAACCGCCCACATCAAAATTATGCAGATATAAAAGTAAGTTTTATAAAAGCATACTTTTGTAAAATATCGAAATCCAAAGTGATAAATGGCAAGTTCAGAGATATCATAAAACAATATTCAGCTGATTAGATATGATTTACTACAGATAGAAATTGAACAACTGTTGGAGATGAAGAATTTCTGACATCCTATTGGGGTAAACGAAAAAAATAAAAAAAAAAGGGATCGAGACGCATTTTAAAACTATTAAACACATAATAACAAGGAACCGAAAGAATGGGAGCTAATTTTAAAGAATTATTCATTAATGAATGATTTTCATCGAACAGACAATTCAGTTAGTTTTATGTCGATACTACTGTTGCATACTACTCTTATTCAAGCTACATGATCATAGATTTCAAAAATAGAAATGAATACTAAAACTTCTTAAAATTTCTTTTTTGTATAGATTAACTATTCCTAGACTAAAAAAAAATTAATAATGGCGGATGCACTATAAGAATATTCGGATTCTGCATTGAAGCCTCTGGCAACGTCATAAAACTTGAATTCAATAAATTGATCATCTGAGTTTTAAATACATATATACAATTTATTATTAGTTTCTTTTCTATTAATCAACTTTAAAGAGCGACGGTGTGATAAATAGAAAAGTAGATAAAAATCCGAGCACCGAACATACCTGTACCTTAAATCTAAGGGATACGCAAGTCAAACGGCTGCTGATATAAAACGGAACTGCTGATATATTAATAGATAATGTTCTATTTTATCATAATTAGTTCACATATGTTTCATGCATTTTGTTTGTAGAATAATTAATTATTTTAAAATATAGGCTATACATATTGTTAAAAGCATATGTTAAATATGAAAGTATCTATTAATAGCTCAGTTGTTGTGGTAAAAGTTAAAGTAAAATTTTTAACTACCAAAAGGTATTTATAATAATTTGAATAATTTGTTATTTATTTTTATTAAGTTTTATTACTTATTCTTACCAGTATTTTTAATTATATACGGATATTATTAACACTATTATTGACATTTGGATATTCAGAACTCGGATAATTTCTTATTTCGTTTAGAAGGATCGCATCCGTTTTGAAAATTATATATTCGCAGCAGTAGAGTTTTTTTTATTATTTCCGTGAATTGTTTATCAATAATGATGTTGAAAGCTCAAAAATATTACTGTTGCTATTAGTTAAATATGTCGTCTTATTATTTATCTATTTTTTCAATTTTTTCAATTTTAATTTATCCTGATTGATCGAAATTGGTTAGCCGATTGGGGTGAGGAGTTTTCTGACAGCCGAGCGGTCAACTCCGTCGTGTGGGAGTGTTAGGATTCACTGAGANGAGAATTTTGGGTGCACCCAATATTACGAGATAGACTGACGCATGAAATGTTTGCGACGTTGTATCCAAAACTAAGACAAAATAAATTCAAATTTTTTAATTCTTTTAAAATATCTATAAAATCCTTTGACGATGGTTGGTGTCTTTTAGATATCATCAATAAATAGATCAGTATCGAAATGATCGTTTCCATTTCAGCACATATATCTCAAAGCGCTCGGCTGACGCCCGCAAAACGCGCGTTTAACGCGCGCTTGGCTTTTGAGTGTGTACGGCTACATAGAACTCTTGGTTCTTTTAAACGCGCGTTTAAAAGCGCGCGTTGAAAAACGCCTAGTGTGTACAGGGTCTTAGACTCGTGAACGGAGTTATAGAGATGGAGAACGAGATTAGATATGGAAACCGTAGGAGTAAGAGGTCCCGAGTAACTATATATTAATTTCCAATACAGGTCAGAAGTCACGTTATTTTAATTCAAAAATATCCCCTGAAAGGTGTTAGATAGATGACCCGCACGACTCTATTGTTAAAGGGAAAGTATGATGTACAGGAGCAAGTCACTACTAATTTGAGGTGGAAAGCATATATTATAAATTAAATAAATTAAAAATATGATTAAAAATTGTAGCCTGGCATTGTGACGATGACACAATACATAATTGCTCATTAAAATTAAAATTTTATTGAAACAAAACATTCTATATAAATTATATATGTTATATATATAGTATATATACAGTAAGACCCGCTTAACACAGAGGATGCATTCCTAGACAACAAAGAGCTAAGCGAAACAGCGTTAAACGAGGTCATTTTAACATAGAGTAAATAGGGATAGCGGAACACGCGACCAAAAATAAACAAATATTACTTTAATTTTAAGTTATTTTTATATTAATTTGTATAATAATATATGTTAAATAACACATAAACATATGCACACAGAAATGTAAAGTTCATTTTTTGTGATGAAGGTCCTGACTTTTCTGAAATTCTTGTTCTTTTGCAATAAAGTCGTAAAGTTTCCTGTGTCGCTTTTTTCTCTCCTTAAGCAAATGTCGGTAGCAGAAGATTGCATGCAAAACGCCTCGTTTCGCTTTTTCACTCCTTTCAAAATCTGGATCATTCGCTACAATTTGATCAACGATTTCGGTTATCGTTACCCCAAATTTTTACTAAGGAAATCTGTAGAGAAATTTTTTGGATTCTTCATTTTCAGAATCTCTATTTTCCAGTTCCACATAAATTCCATGTTCTGCCAGTTCTTGAAGGTCGTCGTTGATAAGGCTCTCACCAGAAACCTGCTGTAACTCCTCAATATCCTGCTCGTCTATATCTCCTACTTCTGTTATATCGATTAGGTTGAGTTTGGCCAACCTAACGATACAGTGATAGGCTCTTCTCGTTGAGAATTCTTGGATATCTTCAGCCATAACTTCTTCCACACTTCGTTCATGCATTTATCAGTTAATTCTTGCCAAGTGAAGTCGATATTTTCTATGGCATTTATGATGTTATATTTTTTCCAAAATTGCACCAAACAAACATAGATTTAAAGAAAGTACACCTTTATGCCACTTTTTGCTGATTGGTTTGTGTTCGCAAATAGTCGTATTATATACGAATCAATGAAATGCCGCGATAATTTAAATCAGCGTAAATTTTGAGCTTTTTTTAGGTTTCGAGAAGACCGCGTTATATCGAATCAGCGTTAAGCGGAGTCTTACTGTATATAAAATAGATATTTTTCATTTTTTACATTGTAACAATTCTAGAAAACAAACTGATTTAATAGAATTACTAATTGATTAATTTATTAAATTGACTAGACATTATGAATAAAGCTACATTCCCTTTGGGAAGTTTGATGAAAGAACTTCATGTTTTTATTATGAATTATTTACTTTTGTGAATTATTTTAATTAACATTTATCAATAAATTATATATTATAAAATTTTAAGTATATAATATTAAATAATCAAAATTAAATAAATTTTATTACGTAATTTATAGATAGCTGTGATAATTATCACAACTATCGAAAATTTATATTACAATACAGTATTTGCATATTTATATATTTATATTGTATATTTGAATAAATTAAATTAAATGCTAATAATTATTAAAAGTATTTCAAGAACAACAAGCTTATATTATATGGGTAATATTAGTATAGGTATATTAATTACACAAAACTCTTTAATAATAATCAGAAACTATATGATAATTAGAATCATTATTAAAATAAGTTTATTTGGGCAATTACTTTGCACATAGCTTTCAACAAAATAATTTGTGATAATTTCACTTTTTTAAAAATAAGTATTATTAACTGTATTAATTAAACTAGTGTTGACTAAAAGTATTATCAACAAAATTATATGATTCAATCACAATTAACGTAGAGGAAACGTTTGGAATATCATTTATGGTATATTGTATACAAACAGCAACTCATACACGATACCATGCGAGCGCTGATCGTCATGCTGATGCGAAGCAGATGCCAGAGTCTAGTTACTTTGGCATCTCTCGGATTATCACTCCTCAAGTGTATTATTGTTATCATTATCGCTTTTTCCGACAGATAATAGCAGTATTCATGTTGACTCGTCCCGCCAATGTGATAAACTATGATAGAGAACGTGAATTTTATTACAGTGCTCAACAAATTTTATTTGTCTTTATTTATAATGTTTGGGAATTATTTATAATTAATCACATATAGGACTATATATACAAGTTATATAGGTCTATATGTTATGACTAAAGTCCGAGTATCGGGTAAAACTAGTATTAACTAGCTAATGCTAAACTTTATTCAAATTAAAATCGGATAAAGAAGACATTATCCAAAAACGAATGGATGAAGAGCTAAACTTAAAATTTGGGTTTTATACGGATAACATGGAGTGTACCCACCGTTGTTTATATAGAGCTAAATATATATTATTGCCATTTTAACCAAATCTATTTTAAAAAATGTAAATTTGAGATAAAGTTTTAAAATATTTCTTCATTTTATACACAATTTCTAAGAAGTAATTAATAATCGATATTAAATTTCATTTATATTAAAGTTTTTGATACGGTAAAATAATGTTTAGGGGAGACCGGGGCAAGATCG